AATCGTTGGTAAAATGTCACATATCTGGTTTTGAAAATCTTTTCACATCAAATGGCGCCCAATGTGGGGTCCACAAATAACAAAATCTTAGATATCCAAAATTATTCGAAAAAAAAATCCTGATCTGTGTTTAAAAGATTATTTGGGAAAAAATACCTCGAATTGAAGTCACAAACACTACTTTTTACAAAACTGGCGCCCAACGCATGTCCTCGAAAAATTAATAATTATTAAATTTGAATTATTGAAACGTAACATCTTGAAAATCGTTGGCAAAACCGTCACATATCAGGTTTTTTAATTTTTTTTCATCAAATGGCGCCCAATGTGGGATCCACAAATAACAAAATTCTAGATATCCAAAATTATTTAAAAAAAGATCTGTGTTTAAAATATTATTTGGGAAATTCTACCTCGAATTGGGGCCACAAACGTACTTTTTACAGAACTGGCGCCCAACATATGGTCTCGAAAATGTAATAATTATTAAATTCGAATTATTTAAACGTAACATCTGGAAAGTCGATGATAAAATGTCACATATCTGTTTTTTGAATTTTTTTACATCAATTAACAAGGTTTTAGATATACAAAATTATTTGAAAAAAATTACGTCATATGTGTTCAAAATATTATTTGGGAAAAAAATACCTCGAACAAACATACTTTTTTCAAAATGGCGCCCAACGTAAGGTCGAAAAAATGCAATATTTTTTAATTGTGAATCTTTAAAGCATAACGTCTTTAGAATCATTGGCAGACTGTCACACTTCTGTTTTTAAAAATCATTTTATATAATATGGCGACCAAAGAAATTCCTCATCGGCGTTGTAAATATAACTTGAAAAAAAAAATCATAAAAAAATACCTCGTATTTGGGTCACAAACATACTTTTTAAAAAATGGCGCCCAACGTTAGGTCCAAAAAAAATTTTAAAAAATGTAAATGTGAATTTTTAAAGCATTACATCTTTAAAATCATTGGTAAAACTGTAACACATCTGTTTTTCAAATTCATTTCATAAAATATGGCGCCCAAATTTCAAAAAAAAAAATCCTCATCGGAAAAAATGCCTCAAAATGGATTCATAAACATCACATTTTCAAAATGGCGGCCAAGGCGGTCTCAATAATGCAATAATTTTCAAATTTGAATTATTTAAACCTAAAATTATTTAAATCTTTGACAAACTTGTCCCATAGCTTGGTTTCAAAAATCACTGAATACCAAATGGCGTCCAACGTGGAGTCTACATCAAAAATGATTACAAATCCCGAAATAATTTGAAAAATATGGAAAATTTAGCCATCTGTGTTGGAAATATTATTGGTTACCTTGTGGCGCCCAACGTAAAATCATGAAATAAGCTATCCATAGAATATCTTAGGGAACCCCTTTAAAAACTAGAAGAACCTCTGGAATACCCTCCATCCTCGGAATCCCTCAAAAGGTTGTCTCCTTCATACAACCGCCTGACACTGTAATATTAGCCGCTTTGTTGAAACTGTTATTTTCCAAGAATGGAAAATTAAACACTAAAAGAAAACAAAAATCGTGAGGGCATTTCTGTTTTTGTGGCGTGTGTCTGCAGCCTGCCATGGATGACGACTATCAAATGGAAATTGCACGCAAGTCTTTTCCACCATTTTTTTTCTCTACATTACATTAAAGCTACTTTATTTGCTGTTTGGATAAAAACAACAAAAAAAAAACGGAAAAACCCAACCGGCACGAACAATAATCATGCAAACGTCAATAAAGCAAAAGAAAAAATGAAGCTACGGCAATAACAACAAATAAAAAAGCCCATAAAAATGTAGCCAATGGAATTGGAAGACTAAGGAGCTGGGGGACCGGACCATACGCCATTGGGCTATTATGACCATAAAGTATTAACGATAGAGAAGACAAAAGGTCGAGTCTAATAATGAGAGCGACCGTCCAGGGAGTTCTGATGGGATAGAACTTACTGCAGAACACGATTTGAGGGTCAGACTCTAGTGGCTAAGGTTCGCATAAATTTCGCCAATCTTTGAAACAAAAAGTGGCGCCCAACGTTTTTTCAAAAAACAAATTGGAGCAATATATTCCTAAAAATTCTCTTCAATAATAATGGAACTAAACAAATTTAGAAAGCGATATCCACAATTTGACCTCAAAAACCAAAAACGAAAAAAATAATATAAAGTTCGTACGTCTTAAATCGGAATGGCGCCCAACATGGCAATCTTTTGTATCAAACATCGGATGTTACAGGTAGCCACTTAATGCAATTTTAATGCCCTAAATGCAAATAGGAAATAAATTACGTTGAAATATCCTCGAACTGAGCCTATACTTATATTTTCTACACAATGGCGCCCAACGTGGAACACAAAATATGTGTTAAATTTATGACATTTGAGGGGTTTAGGAGATAGTAGAAACACACCCAAAGCTGTTTAAAGAAGTCCTTGTTTCTCCATCTCTCTCCACTAAATGTATCTAATAATAAACATCATTGAAAATGAAAATGGCGCCCGACGTGGAACCAAGAAAAATCATATTTTTACATGAAACGAAAAAATGGCGAATAATGGCAAAATATATCATGTCAGAGTCAGTAGGTTTTGCCGACAGAATGTATATTCCAGCATTATGATTATTCAAACTGTTGACTCTTTATGGAGGAGGTTGCGTAGCAATTGGCCAATATTGATATTGATGATATGCGCTTAATGAATACTCAAAATGTTGACCCTTTGTGGGCGAAGGTGTAGACTGATATATCCCAATTTTACACTAGACCTTAGCTTAATAAATATATTGTGATGTGTGAAATATGATGCTTATTATGGATTTTATGAACGTTTTGGTTATTCGAAACTTTGACCCTCTGTGGGCGAAGTACCAGAAGAAATGGTCCGATTTCTACCATCTTTATAACAGATCTTGTGTTGATGGAAATATTCAGATGTGCCAAGTTTGAATGGAATCGGATGGTACTTTTCGCGTTTTATGAGCTTAATGATTATACAAAATATAAACCTTTTGTAGGAGTGGACATCGGTCCATCTTATCCATCTTAACACCATACCTTGGGTTGATACAAATATTGGGATGTGTGAAATTTAAAGACAATCGGACACTTACATCACATTTTATGAGAGTTGTAATTATTCAAAATTTTGATCCTTTGTGGGGCAGGTAATTGATGGAGCGGACTGATATAATCCATTCTTAAGCACCTGACCTTGCAATGACGTAAATTTTAGGATTTGCAAAGTTGGAGCAAAATCGGATTGTCCTTTCTCTTTCTGTGCAAAAAATATATTTTTTGAAAATTTCGACCTTTTGTGGGGGAGGTACCAGAAGGAGTGGACCGAGATTGCCCATCTTCGAACTCGATCTAAGTTTGACAAAATGTATTACGATGTACCCAGTTTGGACCAAATCGGATACTACCTTCGAGAGTTATCGTGCGCACCAGCCAGCCAGAGAGACAGACAGACAGACGGACATCACTAGATTGACTCTAAATGTTCTGAAACGGATTTGGTCCAAAGAGACCTAGGGTCTAAAACCGTTATTTCGACTAGGTACGTTTTGATCGGATCAAATTGAATATAAATATGGCGCCCAACGTGTTTACATAAACAGCTGAGCTTGTCAAAATCAACCGCTGAACTAGTCAACCTCAACAGCTAGCTGATCAACATCAAAAGCTGAGCTTGTCAACATTCAGAGCTAAGCTGGTCAACATCAACAGCTGAGATCATCAACAGCTTCGCTTGTCAACATCAACAGCTGAGATTATCAACATCAATAGTTGAACAGGTCAAAAGCTAAGCTGGTCAAAATCAACTGTCAACATCTAGTCAACCCCTACATCTAAGCTGGTCAACATCAACAGCTGAGTTTGTGAACATCAACAGCTGAGCTGGTCAACATAAAAAGCTAAACTTGTCAACCTCACCAGCTGAGCTGTTCAACATCAACAGCTGAGCTTGTCAACATCGAGAGCTCAACTTATCAACATCAACAGCTCAACTTATCGACCTCAACACCTGAGCTTGTCAACATCAACAGCTGAGCTGGTCAACATGAACAGCTGAGCTGGTCAAAAGCTAAGCTGGCCAAAATCAAGAGCTGAGCTGATTAACATCAACCGTTGGACTAGTCAACCCCTACATCTAAGCTAGTCAACATCAAGAGCTGAGCTTGTCAACATCAAAAGCTAAACTTGTCAACCTCAACAGCTGAGCTGGTCAACATAAACAGCTGAGCTTGTCAACATCAACAGCTGATCTTGTCAAAACCAACAGCTGAGCTGGTCAACATGAACAGCTGAGCTGGTCAACATCAATAGCAGAGCTGGTCAAAAGCTAATCAGCCGCTGAACTAGTCAACATCAACCGCTGAGTTTGTAAACATCAACAGCTGAAATTATCAACATTAACAGCTGAGCTGGTCAACATCAACAGCCGGGCTTGTCAACATCAACAGCCGCGCTTGTCAACATCAACAGCTGAAATTATTAAGAGCAAAACTAGTCAACATCAACAGTTGAAATTATCAACATCAACAGCTGAGCTTGTCAACATCAACAGCTGAGCTGGTCAACATCTTAGCTGTTCAACATCAACAGCTGAGCTTGTCAACATCAACAGCTGAGCTTGTCATCATCAACAGCTGAGTTTGTCAACATCAACAGCTGAGTTTTTCAACATCAACAGTTGAGCTGGTCAACATCAAGAGCTGCGCTTGTCAACATCAACAGCTGAGATTATCAACATCAATAGCTGAGCTGGTCAAAATCAACAGCTGAATTTGTCAACATCAAGAGATGAGCTGGCCCACATCAACCCCAGAACAAGCCAACCTCAACACCTGTTGACAAACATTAACAGCTGAAATTATCAACATTAACATCTAAGCCGGTCAACATCAACCGCTGAACTAGTCAACATCAGCCGCTGAACTAGTCAACATCAACCGCTGAGTTTGTCAACATCAACAGCCAGGCTTGTCAACATCAACAGCCGGGCTTGTCAACATCAACAGCTGAAATTATCAACAGCTGAACTGGTCAACATCAACAGCAATACTAGTCAACCTCAACATCAACAGCTGAGATTATCAACATCAACAGCTGAGTTTGTCAACATCGACAACTGAGCTTGTCAACATCAACAGCTGAGCTTGTCAACATCAACAACTGCGCTTGTCAACATCAACAGCTGAAATTATCAACAGCTGAACTGGTCAACATCAACAGCAAAACTAGTCAACCTCAACATCAACAGCTGAGATTATCAACATCATCAGCTGAGTTTGTCAACATCGACAACTGAGCTTGTCAACATCAACAGCTGGGCATGTCAACATCAACAGCTGAGTTTGTCAACATCAACAGCTAAGCTGGTCAACATCAATAGCTGAGCTGGTCAACATTAATAGCTGAGCTAGTCAACTTTAACAGCTGAGCTTGTCAACATCAAGAGATGAGCTACCCAACATCAAGAGCTGAGCTGGTCAACAACAACAGCTAAGCTGGTCAACATCAACAGCTGAGCTGGTCAACATCAAAAGCTGAGTTTGTGAACATTAACAGCTGAGCTATTCAGCAGTTAGGCCACCTGACTTTCACCCAAAGTATCCTCAAACAAAATTAGGGTATTGGAAAGTAAAACAAGATCAGATTACTAGGAATCGGATGTAGATTTTGAAGACATTTCTTTGTCCAGGTCCCACTAGATTTGAAACGGAAAATAATTTAGTTTACTTTTTAATTTAGGCTAACATGGCTTCAAAGATAGCCCCCACAGTTTGCTGTGTTCCGAAAATTCCATTCTGCTGCCCCAGAAAAAAAAAAAAGATTTGGAAATATGGATTTGAAGCAGTAATTGAAAGCTGCCTGAAAACTAGGCTAGTAGATGTTCAAGAGTTATACAAAAATACAAACTTTTGGTATTCGGAGACAAAAAAAAGATAAGAGTATCTCGAATAAAGGCCTCCTCTTGATTTTGAGGACGCTACTTAAGTTGGACCCATTGTGGACAGACAGGAGCAGGCTCTGATGGATAAAAGTCTAATCACCATATTTACATGGACGTAGATTTCTCACTGCGAGGAACGACGAGTCGTATTCGTTTGGAATTACCTGGATAGCTCTTTGAGTATGGTTGCCCTGCACAGGGAGCCTCTCTGAAAAGTTCCATAGCATTTATTCCCAGATTTCTACCATATTCCTAAGAATGTGTTGGCATACAGAGTTCAATCACATTTTCACATCTTTTCTCCTTAAAAAAAAATAAATAAAAAAACTCCCCGCCTGAGCCTCTCTGGGACTTTCAGCTTGAAAATCCTTGAAAATGTTTCTGATTTTCTTAGCCTTCTAGAAATTCATAAATTATGACACAATTTCCTGGAAAGTTACACAAAAAAAAACTTGAACTTGCGATGGTGATGATGACGATGATGACGACGGCACAAACACAAATCCACCATCCACGTAGACAAAGGGGTGGCGAAGCGAGTGGGGCCTTCTCCTCCGCTCCGCCCCACCACACCTCCTCCTCCTCCTCGTTCCTTCCTTAATATTTAATTAGCAATGAAATGAAAAAGTTTTTTTTTTTTTTTTGTTGTTTCGAACTTACTGCTTGTTTTGACGCCTCCCAATACTAGATTTGACTGTGACTGCTTGTTGCCCTCAGCGAATGAGGTTGTCCTTGGACGCCCACTCATATCGTCGTCCGCGTCGTCGACTCCTAAAGCAGTGGTGTCCTTTGGGCGTTTGTCACTGCTGGTGGCGGCCGTGCTGCTGCTTGATGCCTGCGTGTTGGCGGTTTTTTCTTAACAAGAGACCAGAGAGAAAATATAAATCAAAGGAGATGAAGAAGAGATTTTGTTTTTGTGGTTGTTGTTGTTATCTTCACGTGCGCTCTGGAGGCTATCTCTCTTTTTTGGCAAATGGGGTTTTGAAAATCAACAACCGTTTAGAAATGTTTGAGGTGCGGGATCAAATCTTCTAAACAATATTGCCCTCCTGTGTTCTCTGCCTTTAGGGGTTGATCAAATTACACGGTAAAATGTTAAAAATGTATTTTTTTAAATCTGGTGTTTGTTTCACTTCGTCTTTTTTTTTCTAACTCACTCTCGCTTGTTTCTCGACCAAGTTGGTGTGTCAAAGTCAGTTTGTCGCCGTCTCTCGAGTTGCCAAGTGGTTGACAATGACGACGTTATGTTGTAACACCGCGAGATTTGTTGTTTGATTTTGGGTTTTCAAAAGTGACGACGATCGCACGTTAGCTGCAATTCTTTATCAGTAGCGGGGTTTGTTGTTGTTGTTGTTTATGTGTTCTAGACTGAAAACCTTGTTGTAATTTGTGTTTCGCTGTTGCTGACCGTCCGTAGAATTCAATAGCTGTTAATTTCTTTTTTCGTTTTTGTTTTCTTGTTTCTCCTAACAAATCTTCAAATTCTTATCATAAATTCAATTTTCAGTTGAATGACGCGCAAAGGAAAAGAAAAGTAAAAGCTGAAATGAGAAAAAGAGGGGGGAAGAGAACGAAATGAAAAATGCAATTAGTAAAAATGTTTCAAGAAGTAACCTAAACATAAAACTTAGTAGATATTTGAGAAACTATAACATGACTATATATATGACTCGATATTTAGGTCAGGGAGAAAAAGTTATTGGGAGACCTCTTCACCCTTGAGTAATGAGAAATAGGGGTAAAAAACACATATAGATAGGTCTCTGCCCCAAGAGATGAGCTGGACAACATCAACAGCTAGGTTTGTCAACAACAACATCTAAGCTGGTCAACATCAACAGCTGAGATTATCAACAGCTGAGCTGGTCAACATCAACAGCTGCGCTTGTCAACATCAACCGCTGAGCTTGTCAACATCAACAGCTGAGCTTGTCAACATCAACAGCTGAGCTGGTCAACATCAATAGCTGAGTAGGTCAACATCAATAGCTGAGTAGGTCAACATCAACCGCTGAGTTTGTCAACATCAACAGCTGAGCTTGTCAACATCAACAGCCGGGCTTGTCAGCATCAACAGCTGAAATTATCAACAGCAGAGCTGGTCAACAGCAAAACTAGTCAACATAAACAGCTGAGATTATCAACATCAAAAGCTGAGCTGGTCAACATCAACAGCTGCGCTTGTTAACATCATCAGCTGAGATTATCAACAGCTGAGCTGGCCAACATCAACAGCTGAGCTTGTCAACATCAACAGCTGAGCTTGTCAACATTAGCCGCAGACTTAGTCATCATCAACAGCTGTGTTGTCAACATCAACAGCTGAGATTATCAACATCAACAGCTGAGCTGGTCAACATCAATAGCTGAGCAGGTCAACAGCTAAACTGGTCAAAATCAACAGCTGAGCTAGTCAACATCTACCTCTGAGCTTCTCAATATCTACATCTGAGCATGTCAACTTCAACAGCTGAGATTGTCAACATCAACAGCTGAGCTGATCAACTTCAACAGCTGAGCTTGTCAATATCTACATCTGAGCTTGTCAACATCAACAGCTAAGATGGTCAATATCTACAACAGAGCTTGTCAAAATCAACAGCTGAGTTTGTCAACATCAACAGCTGAGCTGGTCAACATCAGAAGCTAAACTTTTTAACCTCAACAGCTGAGCTGGTCAACATCAACAGCTGGGTTTGTTAACATCAAAAGCAGAGCTAGTCAGCAGTTAGGCCCGAAGTACCCTCAAACCAAAATAGGACATTGGAAAGCAAAACAAGATCAGATTACTAGGAATCGTATTTACATTTTGAAGAGATTTCTTTGTCCAGGTCCCACTTGATTTTAAACGGAAAATAATTTAGTTTACTTTTTAATTTAGGCTTATATGGCTTCAAAGATAGACCCCGCAGTTTGCGGTGTACCGAAAATTCCGTTCTGCTGCTCCAGAATAAAAAAAATTGGAAATTTGGATTTGAAGCAGTAATTGGAAGCTGCCCGAAAACTAGGCTAGTAGAAGTTCGAGAGTTATAGAAAAATACAACTTTTTGGTATTCGGAGACAAAAAGGTAAGTGTATCTCGAATAAACTACTTCTCTAGATTTTGAGAGCGCTACTTAAGTTGGAATTGTTTGTTCCGAAACGTAAAATATGTTCTTTAAATTGACTAAATTTTCTACGACGTATTTGGAAATTCCACACAATTCTACTGGCCCATTAATGCTCTATAAAACCAAACTGGGGCTAGGTGGAAAAATGTGAACTGCCGAATTTAATCTCCGATCCCGTTCTCCGATGAGAAAACATTCGTTGTCCAGCAGTTTGTAAACAAACAAAATGATCGTGTTTACTTGCCAAAGAGGTTAGCTGAAATGTGCAATGTCGATTTAGCGATGTCTGTCCGTCTATCCGTCTGTGGAAATCACTGTAGCTTCCGAACGACTTGAAGTAGATTGATAAAATTTTACTCAAATGTATGTTATGTCTGCAGGACTTTTGTATTTGAAAATGGGTGATGCAGGTCCACGTCTTCGTATAGCCCCCATATAACGGTACCTCCCGATATTCGATATTTGGATGATTTTAGCCACATTATTCACCGGAATTGTTTCAAATTTGGTATTTGAAGTTCGTAATTGATACTACAGCCTTAAGCAAAAAAATGTCTGTGCAGGTCCACGTCTTCGTATAGCCCCCATATAACGATACCTCCCGATATTCGGTATTTTGATGATTTTAGCGACATTATTTACCGGAATTGTTTCAAATTTGGCATTTGAAGTTCGAAATGGATACTACAGCCTAAGACAGAAAATTGTCTGTGCAGGTCCACGTCTTCGTATAACCCCCATATAACGGTGGAGGGTATTCAAAGTTCGGCCCGGCCGAATTTACAGCTTTTTTACTTGCTTTATCTCACCGCGTATTTTGAATATCAATATAGCTCACATAATAGATACTGGTTAATTTATGAGTCTATCGTGGAAATTCTAATACTACAACTAGATCTTTCGAAGGTCTTCTTCAAAAGGTCTGCTATGAAAAAATTTTATATTTTTGTAGTGACCCAAGTAGAGAAGACCTCCGTGAGACCTTCAGGGGGAAAATAATCGGTATATATTATTGCTACATAGTATCTAAATCTAAATATCTAAAACTACAAGAAAAAAGAGGATATAA